TTTTCCAAGTCCGCGATCTCGAAAATAACGAAGAATTTCTCATTAAACTCTTTGGATAAGCTCTCTCTTTCTCGGTTCTCTAATAAATTTGAAATCCCATCTGTATATGTTCCAAGGCCGTAAAAGAGACGTCGACAAATTCGTATGGAGGGTCGAATTCAAAAGATATTCGTCTTACCGTTTCCAGGTTCGTGCACACAATTATTGGTCCCTTTCATCCTTCAAGATAATTTTATCTCTAAAGGCAACACACGTTTTTGCGCATCGAACTCGTACGATCGATCGCAAGAAGTCAAACTCGTGCTTCTTCGATAACGTCAATGCAATCATATTGCTTCCTTACTTTCAATAAATATTTTCTTTCCTTATTATTTATTATGTTTTCTTTTCTTTCCTTTTCTTTTTTTTTTCTTTCTTTTTCTTTCGAATTTTCTTTTTCTCTTTCCCCTTTGAAATCTTGAAATAAAATGAAAGAGAACGTTCTGAAAAGCAAGGATACTGAAAGAAGAAAAAAAAAAGAAAAGAAAAAAAAAAGAAAAGAAAAAAAGCAAAAAGGCCATTGACTCTTCTCGATCTTTAAATTTTTTTTTATATAAAGCGAAATAAGGACTCTTCTGGTAAGAGCTCGAGCTGGGAATTTCGCGAACTCCTTTTATCCTTCCACGCATCCAGTCGGGATCACCCTACTCGGCTCGTTCGCATAAACGGGAAACGGGTTTTGGTCAGAAAGAGCTTTGCTTCGTGGCGAAAGGGACGGGAAGAGAACATTGTCGTTGCGGCAAAGAAAAAAGAACAAAAATTGACGCACCTCTTTCGTCGTTCTTGCTCCCCTACGGCCTCCCTCTCTTCTTCTTCTTCTTCTTCTTCTTCTTCTCCTTCTTCATCCTTTTTCTTTTCGCTCCCATCGTCTTTTTCTCTTGGTTAGGATAGAAAAAAGGGGACAAGGCTGAGGTTAGGTAAATGCAAATGAATACCATTGGCGTAAGATCATTTTTGAGAAAGAGTACATTGGATCTTTGAAAATATTTACAAAAATATGTTTCTTTCCTTTCCTTTTCTTATTTAAATGATAATAATAATAATAATAAAAAAAAAAGAAAAAAAACTACGAAACTTTATCGCAAAAATTATACTACATACGGAACATTTAGGTATGATATAATAATGTATATATACGTGTCGATTTATTACGAATGAAAAATTGATTTGTATAATAATCAATGAGAGCCACTGTCTATGGTGATCGTTGACTTTTTCATCCCCCTCTCCAATCCCTTCGAATCCTGAACCATGTTCGTACCCTCTCCCCTCCTATTTCCCTCCCTGCTCGATCACCTCTAGAATTCGCCCTTGTGTATTTCATTGTTGTGAACGCATGCAAATTGCGATCCAGTTCCCCGTACCGAGTATCAATTCTAACAGGATTAATTCGAGTGCAGTCATTGTTTTTTGCGCGTACCAAAAAGTCCAACCTATATACATATACGTGCCTGCATCGCGGTTCTGGTCTGCCTCGAACAATGTTCTCTCTATCGCACGCGTCGGCATTCCCCGCGTACAACTCAGTTCGTAAATTGGGTTGAAAGGGTGGCGAAGGGATGCTCGTCGAGTATCACGTTGTCGTTTCTCTCTCTCTCTCTCTCTCTCTCTCTCTCTCTTTTTTATTTTTTTTTTTCTATTTTTTTTTTCTCTCTTCCCTTTTATCGGCCCACCTCTTTTTTTTTTTTTTTCGTTCTTTTTTTCTTTTTTTTTCCTTACACTGTCCCACCGACAAATAAAATTCCGAGAAAGATCGTAACCTACATATCAGAATACTTTAGGCGGTATTACATAGGAAGAAATACTTTTTTCTCTTTTTTACCTTTTTTTTTGTTTTTTGTTTTTTTTTTTTTTTGTTTTTTTTTTGTTTTTTTTTCTTTCTTTCCTCTTTGTCTTTTTCTTTTCTATACCCATGGGAGAAACTTCTTTCGGCGCGATGACTGCGCAAAATGCAATTTTATGTAAGTTAGTCCGGACGAAACCGTGACATTGGGAAACGAAACGATCTCCGAATTAAAACCGGTTTCTGATTTTACCTAGAGAATGCCTCTATGTATTTATACCGGATGTTTCAAAATGAAACGAACAATTTTATAATAAAATGATATAATAATGTCATTGTAAAATTTTGTTTCTGAATTATTACCTTTTTCTTTTTTCTTTTTCCTTTTCTTTTTCTTTGATACGTTATTAATATACGTGCATATATATATGTTTGTATATATGTATATATATATATATATATTTGTAATTTTTTTTTTTTCAGAAAGATGATTTTTTGTCGATCAGTACAGCTTTGCGACAATACTTGCCAGAAAAGGACACACCGTATATTCTTGATATCGATCTAGATTTCTTCAGCACTAGGAATCCCTTCAAATATATCTACGATGAAATATATCTTTACGATAAACTTGCTCCTATCTACTCTTTTCAACGGCCCGATACAACCGATCCGGAGGTGAGTCATTGAAAGAGTCATCATCATTACCTTTGCCTTGCATGTGCTTTGTAAATGTATGCGTTATATTCGCTTTCGCAATCGTTATATTCGTAAAGATTACTCGCATAATGTTCGTTCGATCGAACGGATATATTATCATTCGTGTTTTTTCGACTCGTAAGAATCATGCTATATTTCACCAATTTTTCCTCATCGCGATTGATTTAAAAATACATTTGAATAACAACCATAGACATATATATACGAACATTTTATAGCGTTTTATTTCCACTTTTATCATAAAACAACTTTATTTTTTCATCTTTATGTAACCAACAAGATTAATGCATGCGATTTACTTTTTTATTCATTGTTAATACTTCTTAAGTTGTTCGTCGAGTTCGGAATTTACGTCGAATCTATAATATCTTAGATATTTATCATTACATATATATATATTATTTTTTATTATATATTTATTATACATATATATTTAATTATAATATATTAATTAATTTAAATATAACATATTTATTATATATATATATATATATATATAAGAAATTTTCAAAATATTTAATAATTTCCAAAACGATAAACTGTGGGAGGGTAAGAGTGGTATAGAAGCTTTGGACTTTCGCGAAAGAGAGAGAAAGAGAGGGAGGGAGGGAGAGAGAGAGATGAAGAGAGAAAGAGAGGGAGAGAAATAGAGAGAGGATGAGGAGGAAGAGGAGAGAAGAGGGAGGACCAGCAACGAGCGGAAGATTTGCGAATAATTACGTGGCCCGACAATGGTCGAGGTCTCGTGGCAGGCCGGATACACAATGTGGCCTGCCACCAGTCGGATAATAGACAGAGAAGGACGACTCTATGGGGTTTTAGGATTCGACGGACATAATGGCACGGGACCATTGTCTACGTAACTACAGACTGCCAACATCCGCTTTGGGGGTCGACTATGTCAGCTCATCTGCATCCCGCCCTCTAACCCCTCTCCATTCGCGTTCGCTTTTACGAAAGCGATCGAAAGCTTCGCTCGAATCGACGATCGAATTATTAGTTAAGTAATGCCTATAGAATTTGCATGAATTCACATTGATAAGAGCGTTACGCGTCCACCGCGATTCATTATACGCTACGAAATACGCGTGTTCCGTGATTCCCATGAAATTTTGAATCGAGATCATTGAATTTGCACAATGAAGGAAAATAACGTTTACGCTGGATTTTCCTTTTTTTTGTTTTTTGTTTTTTTTTCTTCTTCTTCTTCTTCTTTTATCTTTTTCCTTTTTGCGACCGAAAAAGAAATTTCTATCGGTACTTTAATTCTAATATACTAATTATACATAAATCGATTCGATTATTAAGAAATTTTTTATTGCAAATAAAAATCAATATATCAAATATCGAGTCGTCGTTATTACGCAGGATATAAGAAAACAAAAAAAAACAAAAAAAAAAAACGAAAAAATACATAAATAAAGAAAAAGAAAAATAAGAAAACGATATAGGTGCTGTATAGTAATCGTCGCAAGAAATCATGTCTTCGGCCTAATGTATGCGGACCCGACGACGTGCTACCTGTCTTACCCTGTGAACTCGGCGCTGCATTGTGATTGTAAGCCGGCTTCGGGTCACATCATAGCCTAACCGCGGTCAGGGTTATTTTTGAATTATTTAAATTACGTGAGCTGCCTTCCTCGACATTACGAACAAAATCGTACGTATTCGGCTCTCGTGTCATTAAATTCCGCGAGGATTTTCTTAAAACGTTTAACGGTAAATAAGTATAAAGGAATCCTTTGAATATTCAATGAAGAAGATCGAAACGAAGATTATTTTAAATTCATCGAAAAGGTGTAAGATTATAATTTTTATCTCAAATACGTTTATAGATAGGAACCAATATGATTTGTACATTGCGTCAGCCATGATTCTTTTCTCAGGATCTGGCTCGCGATGTCCCACTGTGATCCCCATCGAAGAAGGAATGGCACGAGCGGGGGGTCCATCCAGTATGCAAAACGGACCCCGTTTTCCGGCCTGCCTGAATATTGATGTGTACCCGGCTATGCAGATGAGCGTGAGAATGCACCTCGTGCCGGATGGTGCCGCGAATAGACGAACCGGAAGTAACCAAATATCCTTTACGGTTCCCGCAACGTTTCTCTTTCTCCTTCTCTCTCTCACTCTCACTCTCTCTCTCTCTCTCTCTCTCTCTCTCTCTCATTCTCTCTTTTTTCGTTCTATCTTCTTTTCCTTTTCTTTCAAAAACCACGTTTTTCTCTTGCTAGCCGCATGATTCGAATCTCGACCGCAGTATTTTCTCATCTACAAAAGGCCGGTCCATCAAGGCCATCCGAATCTCTCCTTGAGGCAGGTCACTGCCTCCTAATTGCCTTCTCTCACGGAACTTTCGAGTCCCTCAAACTTGGCTTTACCTTCCTCAGAGTCGTATCGCATCCTCGAACAATTAAAGCTCTTAGACGATTAGGTCGATAAACTTAAGGAGTCTCCTCTTAAGCGACCACCTGATTTCTCTCTTTCTTTATCTTACCTTTACCGTTCCGAATACGACGATAACGAATAGTCGAAATTACCGTTTTACCGAGTGCCGTTAAAATCACACATTGATCTCCTTAATAATCTCACGACTTAACTCTTGGCAATGCGAATATTTCGCTCCTAGAATTTATTACCCCTTTCAACATCTTCAAAGTTAAATCTATTTTGGTGATCTCCGTTGAACTAGGAAATTTATCACTCGGTTTATCTGAAATGTCCTTTAAGATTCAACTATTTATTCGTTAGTATTACTAAGCCTACCTGATGATTACAAGCACGTGTGAAAGAGGCGAAAAGGATGTTACGATTTTTCGAAAATACTGATAACACATCACGAGACGAGCCTAATCAACGAGTCGAAAGCACGCAAATCTTTGATAAACCGGATAAGAACCAACATCGCCATCTGTTGTGACTGATAAGAACGAGACTCCTTTGCAGTTTCCGGATAAGCCGCAGGCAGTTGGGGCGACGTGACGAGCGACGTCGGCGCCGGCGCTGGGCGACGCCATGCGTCCAAGATGGCTGCGGATCGTTAAACGGTCACGCGCAAGCTTCCGAAGGGGTGGCTGAGTGGGAGCGGGCGGGGTCGATTTTAGGGGCGCGTGCTCGCGCGCGCGCACGCTTACTCCTTAATCCGATCGAACGCTCTTTAGGGCTATGAGATCGACCTTGACTTATAGGGAAAAAGAAAAAAAAAAAAAAAAGAAAAAAGAAAAGAAAAAAGAAAAGAAAAAAAAAAGAAAGAAAAAAAGAAAGCAGAAAAGAAAAAGATGAAATAGGGATCGAAGTTGCGGGTTTAAACAAATTTAGAAGTAGTTTGATCAAACTTTTTTCATTACGACTACTACTTCGATTTCGATCGTTCAAAACTTTTCAACGTAATTTTTATTTTACGAGGGGTGTAACGAACAGACGAAAAAAACTAGAAAGAGAGAACAACCATTTCATGTTACTACTACAAGCGTAGCGTAGTACGACCGTTTATATTACTTTTTCGACTGACTGCCAGTATTGTTTTATGTAATCATCATCGTGAAAAGCGTTTGCACACGCTATGACTTTTTTTTTTTTTTTTGATAGAAGTGAAATATTTCAATTCCTTTTGATGTTCTATCGCTACGATCGTAACATTTTCTAAATATACATGTGTATAAACTTTTCTTTTTTTGACTATAGCAACGAATAGATTGTTTCTAAATCTAATAAACCTTTACGCAGAGTTTATCCGCGGTAACAAATAGTGAAATAGTGCACGTTTTAAAGTTTAACAAAAAAAAAAACAAAAAAAAACAAAAAAACAAAAAGAAAAAGAAAAAAAAAAAGAAAGGAAAATTTCGAAATGGCATTCATTTAATCGCAAACTTTCTAATGTTAAAATTTAATAATGCGAGAGTCGTGTCTACTTAATCCATAAAACCGAAACGATATTTAAATGTATTAAAACGAACATAATGAAAATCATCATCGCTACGATAGAACAAATTGATAGATTACACAAATGACGAACTGTGTTGGCAAAAAAAAGAAAAAAAGGAAAAAATATCATAACTCTCTATAAGAAGACTACTAAAAAGTTAACTTCGTTAATGTAAAATCCTTTTTGAAAAAGCCAAAAACGATCGAATAGGGTTGAGCCTTATATCTTCTTGTCCTGTTGGTAAAAGTTGTCGAAAGAGGTTGTTGACCTGTTCGCGAGGTAGCAATTTCCGAACAGAAGGGTAGACATTTATCGAGAAGGAAAGAATGGGAAAGAGAAATGATGGTCATACGGCGGTGTAACGTGTTCGCGCTTTTTCGCGCAAAACCGAAACAAAACGTTAACGGGAACGTCACGGTCGATTCTTTTCCCGCTTCCTCGCACGCGCCACTAACGCGCACGATCGCAAATTTTCGAGCAATCGTTGAGGGATTTACACATGTCAAATAACGTTAACGTTACACCGCATTACGTGTTTTACGAACAATACAACGGGTTTCCCTATTGTTAGGACTATTCCCTTATTCGCGAGTTCGGTCAAACCGTGAATTCGAGAAATAAAAGAAATAATAAAAAGGAAGAAGATAGACAGACAGACAAACAGACAGTCAATGGGGAGAAGAGAGAGAGAGAGAGAGAGAGAGAGAGCGAGAGAGGGAGGGAGGGAGGGGGAGAGAAAGATGATACCACTTGTTTATCGAATACGGACAAAACCGTTTACTTTCTGCTATGTAATTATTTATAATCGTTTTGGTGAGAAGTTTATACGTTCGAACATTAAATTTGAAATGCTACTACAACCTCATGTCGTAACAGTGAGGTAACGTTTAGCCGACAGATAAGTTGTTATTACGGATCGAAGTTGTATATACGACACGGCACAGACTATATGTTTAAGACTTCGAAGTTGTGACACTTTTAGATTGACGATCGACAAGAACGGATTTATAGTCGCGACTCTTTCTGATTAAAC